CAAAGTTATTAAGCTTGCAAGTGGAGTTTTCTTTCTTAAACAAATATTCCATGAAGGAAAAATCTTCAACAACATGTTTCTCCGAGGTAAAGGCTGAAGTCTATATCATAACATTCAAGTTATTACATGAGTATATGCTATCATGCCTTGCCAGATGTTTCATTCTCAAAAAATCACAGAATAGGCATCAGCACAGCCAAACCCAAATGCTTTATCTGTGAAGAACAATGCTGTGATAGTTAATCCTGTTTGTAAAGATTAGACTAGAATTGTACTAGAGGCCATTCATGCTACATTGTGGCAAAGGTAGTCTACATTTCAGAGTGTCCTGATACTTTGTAGGAAGCTGTTTAAAGATGACTGACTAATTTGGCAGGGGAAATTTCAAGGCAATGTCCCATTCTATTGTGGCATGGGTGTTCCTGGATGCTTTTTTCTTAGCATAAATTTATTGTGCAAGGAGATTTTGTTGTGATATTTCCATAAATGTGTATATTGTATATTGATTGTATTCACCCTCTATTGTGCTTTTATCATTTTCCTTTCTTCCTCCCCTTTTTATTATTTTAGTAGGCTTAATTATGCTATTTCATTTATTCATGTAATATATATTGACCACTTTTACACCCCCTCACTCCCTGCTCCCCCCACTGGGCCCTTGCCCTAAGCAGTACTCCTTTTACTTTCACTTATTGTGTGTCTCTGTTGTGTGTGTTTCTGCTTTGGAATTTGTTCATCTGAAAGTCATCAGTTGCAGGTTTTAATGGCCTACAGACTTTCTTTTGATGTATTCTCAATGATCATGCAGGGGCAAAGTTGATGCTCAGTTTGTCACCATGGATATGTCTCGGTAGCTAGACATTTAGTAGCTAAACATGTTAAGGTATTAGGCCCAACCTCTGTACCATTCAGGGAGAAGAAATCTAGCTGCAGCAGCAACCACAATTGATAGACATCACTATGAACATACAGTAATAACTAATTAAGAAAAATCATCACCTCAACTCCAATATCTTTAGAGAACTAAAGCAACAAAGATAATGCTATGTTAACCAAGAAGACACTAGTATAAGGTAGGAGAATAAGAGAGCTTGATGGGGGGATGAATATGTTCAAAGCAGATACTACTGCAAGTATAAGAGTGTCATATGGAAACCTACTATTTTATACAATTTATAAAAAGTAAAATAAAACCATATCAGAAGGGTGTGTGTGTGTGTGAATAAGAAAGAAAGAGGACATTGTCCATTTTCAGGGGAGGAAAACATGGTCTGGTAGCTAACATATTAAGGAAGATACATCGCTTAATCATTTGGAGACAAATATTTGGGTGTGAAATAATGGCCCCTTCATAATTCTTCCTTGAGGCACCAGCATTCCATCTGTAATTACTGTTTTTTTTTGTAGGACTGGGGTTTGAACTCAGGGCCCAGGTTTGTTAGGCAGGCACTCTACCATCTGAGCCACTCCATAAGCCCCCATCTGTAAGTTTTAAGTAAATCAGAAACTGAAAAGGCATAGATAAGGAAAATGTGAAGAGGATTAGAGACTGAAACAAAATAATGAAGTAATCTTAAACAGGGAAAAAGTACAAAATGCCAGATTAACTGGGATTCAAAGAAATACAAGATGAACTGGGAGGCAAAAAGTAATGTCACAGGGTGGAAGGAACAGACTGTAAAGGCACTTACTGGTCATTTTGGACTTTGTTTGTTATAATGCATATAGTTAAGTCCTTGCACAAGAAAGAATGTAGACTTTAATTCAGATATATACCATCATTTTGAATTTTAGTGATGCAGTGATTAAGTATATGAAATTTGGAATCCCCAACACACATTGTTAACTTTTATGAACTATAAATTTTGGAAATAATTTTATGTCTATTAGACTATTTATATTCTCATCTGTTCAGTATTACTTTCTATTTCCAAAAACTGCTTGGAAAATTAGGAGAGCAGAAGGATTTTTAACACTAATCCTAAAGTCTAGAAAAGGATCATCTCTCAATAAATAAATGTAACTCTTTCTTTTGGGTTTAAGAGTTTATGATTTTTGGAAATATTCATTTTTATATGGAATATTATTCAGCAAAAATATTCCATATTTAAGCACCCAGCAGACCTTGAGGAAATAATGTCTTTGTTAAATTTCTTAAAGGATTTAAGAAATTCATCACAGTTGCTCTACCTAAATGTAATTGAGTTCTTGTTCTTTGGGAAAAGAACCCTTATCCCAGAGGGCCCCTGATTACCCCACCACCTATAACCTTAATCAGTTGGAATCCAGAGTCAGTCATAACCTCAGCTCATGCTAGCTGAGCCAGCATTGCATTTGCTCCTTATAGAAGGTGGCTCTATGTAGACCTGTCAGTTTTTAAACTGGATGAGTGAAAGTAGAGATACAGGACAGGAAAGAGAGATGAGGACTATAGTTAAACATCTGCATTTAGACATATGAGATCTTCAAAAAGGTAATATCCCACTCTAGTAAAGCAAAGGATAAAGATCATAAATACATATGGGGAAGTACTTCCTCCTTTAACAGATATAAATACCCTTACCTATAGATTAAGAAAACATAAAGTCACATATGCTCTAATGTTGAATTATAATATTATTAGAGATGTTTGACCAGGACAGGTCATGGAGTCAAAACTAGCCATGTGTAGACAATACCTAGTTTCTACATGCTCAGGATTAAAAGTTGGTCAGTCATGGTAACTTCTGTAAGAGAAAATTATTTAGGAGGGAGGCAGAAAATTATCTAAATTATTGAGGTGATCAGTTGGACACCAACTGCTTTCTTTTCAAAACAACCCAGGCCACTACATTGTTTGACTTGCATTAACTACTATTTTTAATAGTTAAAGGAAAGGATTTTAAAGGATTTTACTTAAGTAACTGACAAATACTTGAGGAGACAGATCTGCTTACACTGATTTAAACATTATACTGCGTACCCATGTATCTAAGCCTCAGATAGATGCATCATTCATATGTATAACAATTGCATGTGCTATTATAAAAAGTAAATTAAAAATTTCAAAAGCATTGTTATTATTGATGTATTAAATTTTCAACTTATAAAACCATAAAGATAAGTGAGAATGAAATATTTCCAGACTGAAACTTTCAGGATATAAATATTTCTTCTGAAAAGAATAGCATTTATATCTTCCTATAAATCACCTTCGCTTCTGGTATGAAGTCTGATAATTTTAATGATACCAAGAGAAACTTAAACCTTATTATGGAGATAAACGTGTTTAATAGAAGGAGTAGGAAGAATGTATGTTGAGAATGAAAACAATTAAAAGCAAGAAAACAATGATCAGGCATGAAAACATTATTATTTAAATTTGATGAATTTTAAGATTGATTTAACTTAGTTTGTTATGGGAAAAATATAATCATTAAATGAAATTGTGTCATTTGATAAAGCATATGCCAGACAGAGACCATTTACATATAAAACTGAGTGTATATCTAAGCAGTGTAATGTTCTCCACATTTACTCCCAAATACTTGATAACATATGCATATTCTACTTTATGAGATACTTGGACAGATTCAGAAATTATAATGGGATAAAAGGTTCATTATTTATAATTTCATTGTTATTAAGTTCAACATGCTATTAATCAATCATATGCAAAGCATGTTCCTAAAGGGATACACATAATATTTTAAGAGGAAATAAAGACTCCAATTTTTATAATAAAATCTTATCTCAAAATAAAACATTTCAATTATATTTATGTAGACCTACAATACACATCTACAAAATCAGCAGACATACTGATCAAATTCCAGATGGGAAAAGTGATCAGTGACTAAGAGTAAATGCTTAAAAATGAGTGTTATATAAAGCAATACATCACATTTATCAATGTTAGGTACAAAGCTTAAGTTTTAATAATTTACTTAAAATAATCTCTAGAAATCTGACTTTTAAAGACTTGCAAAACATCAGTAAGTTATATTTGACTACATACTGAATATCTGTGACCTGCCATACTTTAAGTGATTTTATTGCATTTACAGGAACATTCTGGGCTTCTATTTTTCAACTGGTAAAATTTGAAAAACAGTATTTAGCTTACATAGCTTTGTCAGGTAAGAATTTAAATATGCGAAGATTCTAGCACAATTTTCTCTTCATTTTAGGAGCAATAAGGTATTGTTTTCATTACTTCATGCAAAAATGATATAGACATAGAGAACAATAATAGTTCAAATATCAAAAGGAATACCCAGTCATTGATTTGTGTTTTGACTAATATGTTCTGGATCATAAATTAAAGTTAGCAGAAAGAACACTGAGGAAGGTGTAGAGAGTTAACTAGAAAATTAGTACTTGTGAAAAATAATTTTAAAATAAGTGGGTATATAAATTAGATAATTTTTACTTGAGAAAAGAGAGTACTTGATAGAAAAATATAGGTTACCCTCAAGTTTTGGAAAAACTGCTATGTAAAAGGCTCAGTAAGTCTTTGGAGCTATAGAAAAAAGGACCAATATGGTCTCCAGGCTCCGAAGGACAGGTTCTGTGAAGTAATAGGAAAAACATCAAATGCACTATCTCTGGAATGGAAAACTTTACTGAAAGTACTGAGATAGAAGCTGGAAATTTATCATTCAGGATGAGATTTAGAAGAAAATTGTGATAGATGAAATCTAAGTCCTTTTCCTTTAATAAAACCATTGTTTACATAAAGCTTATTTGTCTGATGGTTAACAAAGTTCATATTTTTAAACAAATAGATAAGACCCATGATTTGATTTACAATTGGTATCTTTTCTGGGTGCATAGTGTTTGTCTATGTCACTGGTTTTTTTTAAACTTGGAATTATAACTTTGAAAGTTTTCTAATTAAAGTCTTGGGATCTTCCAAATTCTTTGTTCATTTGTTTTCAAATTGGGTTGTAATGACCTGGCAGAAAACTTCTGCCCAAAGAAGAGGACTCCATCTATAGAAGATAGCAGACATCAACACCATGGGACCAGCCAATGTATCTCAAGTGTCTCCAAACACCTTCTTGCTGATGGGCATCCCAGGACTAGAGCACCTGCACGTCTGGATTGGGATTCCTTTCTGCTCCATGTACGCAGTGGCTGTGGTGGGGAATGTGACCATCCTGGCAGTGGTGAGAGCAGAGCGAAGCCTCCACGAGCCCATGTTCCTCTTTCTGTGCATGCTCTCAGTCACAGACCTGGTCCTCTCCTCATCTACACTGCCACGCATGCTCTGTCTCTTCTGGCTTGGCGCCCATGACATTGCCTTTGATGCTTGCCTGGCTCAAATGTTCTTCATCCACAGCTTTAGTGCCTTAGAATCAGGCTTCTTCTTGGCCATGGCCATCGACAGGTTTGTGGCCATTTGTGCCCCACTGCGCCATGCCACGATACTCACCCACAGTCGCGTTGCTAAAATGGGTGCAGTTGTGGTACTCCGAGGTGTAGTATTGTTTTCCCCACATCCCATCCTGCTCAAGCAGCTGCCCTACTGCAGGACTCGAGTCATTGCTCACACCTACTGTGAGTTCATGGCCGTGGTGAAGCTGGCATGTGTGGACGCAGGAGTCACCAAGCGATACAGCCTCGGTGCAGCCCTTGGTATTGGTTTCTGTGATTGCGTTTTAACTGCCTTCTCTTATGTCCTGATCCTCCGTGCTGTCTTCCGTCTTCCATCCAAAGAAGCAAGTTTTAAAGCTCTAGGAACTTGTGGTTCTCATGTCTGTGTCATCTTTGTTTTCTATTCAACATCTGGTTTCACCTTCCTGACCCACCGCTTTGGGCACAGTGTGGCTCCCCACATTCATATCTTCATCGCCAATATGTACCTTCTAGTTCCACCCTTTCTTAACCCCATTGTTTATGGTATAAGGACAAAGAAAATTAGAGACCATGTTCTTAGTTCTCTAAGGATAAAAGTTTCTTGATTACGCTGTTGTTTAGAGCCATAGTAACAGAATATGGAGGGAGAAGACAAATAGTTCCCTTTCTCATAACCGACATTTTTTCCAATGGAATTCAGACATGGCATATTTCTGTATTTTTCTGTTTTTTGTTAGCGTATGACCACATTCATTGGTGGTAGAAATTTCCCAATTCTAATGAAACCTGTAGGTGTAATACTTAGGGAGCTCACTTACAATTTGATGAGTAGCAAATGCATCGCTTCTGTCTCTTGTTGCTACCGATCCATGGTATAGCAGGGTTTAATAGTTTAACTTCAAAGGAGTGGTTCAGAAGGAAAGAAACCCAGGAAAATGTCAAAAAGAAATTTCCATAAGTAATGTGCATAGCCTCTTTTGAACTCTTTATTTTAGAATGTACACCTGCCACTACATTCTTGTGATTATGGCCAGAGCTCATTCAGATACACTAAGCTTGCTCAAGCAATAGCCTTCTTTAAAGGAGGAAGCCTTATTATAAATAACATATTTATATTTTTGCATTATTATAGTATAAGAAATATTGAAAATGAAAAAAATAAAAGAATATAACTATATTTATTTTTAAAAATCTGAGTTTTTATTTTAAAAATGTAACTCCTTTTAGTACTTGCCTCACACAAGATGGAAATTAAAGACAATAAACATATGATGAATTTTGCTGAATTCATGTCATCTTTATAGTAATTTTCAATTTGTTAAGTATTAATTGTATATTCTTTCTTTGCTCATTCATTCTTTTCTATTCCCTGTAAGAGCTTCTTTAATGCAGATTTCTGGGAGTCCTTTCTGTATTCTTCTTCCTGAGACTCTATTAAATAACGTTGTTCAAGATTTCCCACTAAGATTACCTCAACAGTTGGCACTAAATAGGATTTAATTAATTTGTCTAGTGCATTCTCTAAATCAATTATAAGTAAATATATATATATATATATAATCTGTGGTGTGTGTGTGTGTGTGTAAAACAGAAATTATAATTGTTTAAAAAACATGAAGATGCAGAATGGAAAAGCGAAAGTTTGTGTATTCCATTTCTCCTGTTTCTCTTACCATATCCTTAACACTATTTAGAAAAAAAATTCATAGAGACTCACATCTACATTCAAGTCGTAGTACTCTCTACATCTTCATGTCTCTGGTTAGCTTTCTCCTTTTTCCCTTAGAAAAAAATAAGTATTCTTCAAGATTCAATTCCTCCTGAAACTCTTCCACTTTGTCAAAACATTACATTATTTCTTTAAGTCAAACTGACAAAAACTCTCCCTGCCACAATTATAAAATATAGTCATAATATATTGTAGTTAACCCTTTTTTCATTTATTTATTAACGTATGCTTGCTATTCCTGGGGTATATTGTGACATTTACTAAAGTGGTTACAATATATCTTATAATATGCCCATCTTTTTCCTGTATTCCCTCTCCCCTTCCCTTCTCAGAATAGTTTGAACAGGTTTCATTGTTCCATGAATACATAGTGCTTCCACCATATTTGTCCTCCTTTACTCCTATGTGTTCTCCCTCTCATTGGTACCAATCCCCAGACAGGACTTGCTTTACATTCCTGTCCTTCATTTTTTAAAGACATTTTTGTTTGTTTATGATGTTTATACAAGGAGTTTCATTGTGACATTTCCATGTATCTATTGTACCCTTAGATGGTTCATCCCCTCCGTGAGTAGTTATAAGTTAAATAACCTGAATTGGCTCTAAAGACAGAGTTTCTGAGTCCTTTATTCATCTCTCACTATCTGTGTATGCTCAGGCAATTTGCTGAAATATTCTAAGATATCTTGTTACAGCTAATAAAACAGGAATTATAAATTTTCCTGTACTTGAACTTTTATGAATTAAATGAATCAAAACACATAGACATAAATCATAATGCCACACCATGAGCGCCTAATACATAAGCATTATGCATACGTACTATATATAGCTTTTATATAACATATGTGTGCATACATGCGATAGTACATGGCTTAGCACTTATATAATATCAATATTTAGTCATTTAAATTATGTAATTAGCTCAGTACTCATCACAGTAGGAATTAATCTGACTTTATAGATGAGGAATTAGGACTCCCATAAATTAAATAATTTGTCCAAATAACACATTAATTAAGTAGTGCAGCCTGGATTTGACTTTTTATTTCTAATACCTCTCAGTATATGATGCACTTTTATGTTTAATGAGTGCTTTCTAAAGTGATGAAAAAACCAGAATATGTTTGGTGTCATTTATTTATATTTTAGAACTCCAGTTGAGGTTTTGGCTATATAAAACAGCTGAATTAAAAATACAGGATATGTTAAAATCATGTTTAGAAACACAGTGGAGAAAAGTGACATAAAGTTAGAGATAGATCTTCTCTGGCTAAGGCAAGAAAATCCCTGTGGGAAATCTAGCCTTTGAGACATTTCCCCCGTGTTGTCAGAAGATGATTTGACAACTCTCTACCCTTAAACTGTATGTTCTTTTCTTATTTTGAGCTACCACGAATTATACAATTTAATCATGCTTCCCCAAAACACTAAGATTGTTTATGTATCGGGTTTGAAAATATAAGCTAAAGAGTTAGCACTTACAGGCAATCTATCAAAGACTATCAAATTGGAAATGTTGAAGAACAAAACCAACAAAATAAATCATCACAATGCTTCCATTAAGTTCTAGTTGAGATGGAACAGATGAAGATTTTTATATACTCATATAACTAATATTTATTTACATGCCATGTTGTGCTAGATTTTCATGAAAAGTGAGCAGAAAAGACATCTACATTACAGGGGACTTACATTCTGGTAAAGACAACATAACTTAATATAGTGATCCTCAAATCCATGATTATACTGGATGTTAAGTATTATTAAGATGAAATATTAAGTTTATGTAAGTGCATGTAAGATGGGATTTGGTCTAGTTCAAGGATTCAAGGATAATGATATTTAATTAGTAAACTGAATTAACAAACTGATGAAAGACAGACAGGTCATGGAAACGAGGGTGGTAGTGATACAGGGAAAAGAGAGGATGTGTTAACAAGTATGGATCTTAAGATCAGATAGGGTGTCACAGTTTCAAGGAACTGAAGGGATTCACTTTGTGGGGTAGTGTTCACAGTGAAAACAGAAGAACAGCTTGAGTAAGATTGGGATAGTAGCATGCGGGGGTGGCAAGGGCATGCTAACTGTGCCCAATCACATAATAGACTAAGAGGAGGACTACGGAAATGCTTAGCATAATTGAAACATGATCAGGTTTGTGTCTTGAAATATATTATTCAGTCTTAAAACGAAAAGACCTTTCCTTTGCCATGATATGGATGAACATGGAGGACATTACGCTAAGTGAAATATGCCCACTGGAGAATGATAAATACTTTCATGGCATTATACATAAAATCTAAAAATAAAATCAAACACATAAAACCAAGAGTATGAATGTAGTCACCAGAGGGTTGGAGAGAGGGCAGAGGAGATATTATAGGTCAAAGGTACAAAGTTACAGATAATAAACCTCGAGATCTAATGTACAGAATGAGGACTATAATTAGTAAAATGGCATTTTAGACTGAAAATTTGCTAATTTAGTATATTTTAGGTACAGCTATCACAAAAAAGGGTAACTGTGAGAAGATAGATATGTTAATTTGCTTGAATACAGTAAACATTCACTATGTGTATCAAAACATTACATTGTATACATTACTTTTATAAAATAAAAATGTGTAATGTATCCATAAAATAAAGATCATGTGGCAGCACTGAGGTAAATGTTGCTAAGACAAAGAATGGAAAGTGTAAATTCAGGAGAACTTTTAGGAGTACTTTTACTACACCAATAAGATAATAACTTAGATAGTAACTTGACACTTGACCCAGGTTATCACAAACCACAGCAGAAAGAGTTAGATGGATTTGATTATCTTGAAGGATAATTAGGCTATGGAAGTTGCCTTGATGAAGACACTGATAAACTCACAGGTTACATGACTGTTAGTCATCCCTAGAAATATTATGGTAGGACTAGAGACCAGAGTGGATAATTTTCTTTTTTTGGCTATACTGGGGTTTGAACTCAGGGCATCACTCCTGCTAAGGAGACATGCTACTACTTGGGCAACTCCAACAGTCCTGTTTTGTGTTGTGTTTTGTTGAGATATGGTCTCTCAAACTTGTCTAGGGCCAGCTTTGAACCATGATCTTTCTGTTCTCTGCCTCCTGAATAGCAAGGATTACAGGTGTAAGCCACCTGTGCATGACCAGAGTATATGACTGACTAAAACAAACATATTGTGGAATATCAACGTAGTTTTGATTTGCATTTCCTTTATGGGCAAGGATGTTGAGCATTTCTTGGTATATTTATTGGCCTGTTGTGTCTCTTCTTTTGAGAATTCTCTGTTCAGTTCATTTGACAATTTATTCAGTGGGTTGTTGATTGTTAGAGGTTAGATTTTTGTGCCTCCTGTGCATTCTGATTATTAATACCTTGTCAGATGTATAGCTGGCAAAGATTTTCTCCCCTTCTGTAGCTTGTCTCTTCAGTCTGGTGGTTATTTCCTTTGCTGTGCAAAAGCTTTTTAGTCCCATTTGTCTTTCTCTTAATTGCTGAGCTACTGGAGTTCCATTTTTAAAGGTATTACCTTGCCTATGTGGTCCAATGTGTTCCCTATTTTTTCCTGTATTAATTTTGCTGTTTCAGATCCTACATTAAGATTTTTAACCCACTTTAAATTGATGCAGGTACAAGGTGAGAGACTGGTATCTAATTTCAGTTGTCTGCAGGTGGAAATCCAGTTTTCCTAGCACCATTTGTTGAAGAGGATGTCTTTTCTCCAATGCATATTTTGGGTTCATTTGTCAAAAACAAGAAGGCTGTAGTTGTATGAGTTTGTGTTGGGGTCTTCAATTCTATTCCCTTTATCCTCATGTCTGTTTTTGTGCTAGTGCCATGCTTTTTTTTTATTACTATGG